CTCAGATGTCCCTTTAAACTGGGATGCAGACATCAATCAGGAGCAGCATCTGCTTTAGGTGGTGTGGAATAAATTAGTTCATATCACTGGCAATCTAGTGCAAACTATGGCTCATGCAGTAGGAATTGATTTCAGATATCCCAGCATGGTCAGAGCTTCCAATGGGTTATTTAATTACACCCAAAAAGGTCATACTATATCCTTGGATCTGCAATACCTGTAGTGTTTTGTTTATTGATCAATAATTTCGTGTCTGATCTACTTCAGATGATGTAAAGTCAGCACAGGTTTTTAACCAGGAAGTCCTGTCAGATTTATCTTAAAATCCATTGACATGTTTTACAAATAACTAACATTTTACTGGTGGGAAGGAGCTGCTGCAGAGGTGATTGGATAGGTGAGGAGGTAATAAAACACACTGCTTAGTGTGCTGTAATTGGGTGTCAGTGCAAATGAGATTATTTCGTTTATTTAGTAATTGCAAAATTTATTTTAGACGCCTGTGACATTTAAACTGTTCATTTATACACCATAGCAATTCTATTCTAATTGTAATATTAGTCTGTTTGCTGCTTTTAAAAGAGGCCAATGAGGGACTTGCTTAAAAAAAACATTTGATTTCTCTGTAAACTTCTGGGTCCTAAGTCTCCCTTCTCTTTTCCCCTAACCCAAAGTCTGAGGCTGTAAATTGAGGTGGTGCCAGATATTAACTGCCATAATTATTGACACTGTTATTCCACTGCATCAGGTTAAAAAAGCATAGTAATTTTTGTTAATCATGCTCCTATCCTGGCTTCCACACTTTGTTAGTGTTTTTCTTTTAGCAAAATGTATGATTGAGTTGATGATTTTTATCTCAGAGAAAAATATAATTAACGTGGTGGAGAACTAGAGCTGCTGTGCATTATAAAAAAATCTGCAATGGCAAGATGACAGATTGTGAAAACAACTTCAGAAGGGGAATAATGTAAATGGAGCTGATTTGTCTGTGGCCATTTCCTCTTGCTGTAGCCATGCTGTGAGGAGTTTACTGCACTTGTGAAGGACACAAAGAGAAATCTTGAAATATTTCTGCCTTTCCTGAGTCTTTTCTTTTGAAAAAGTACTAGCAGCAAATAGAAAATTCCTTTTTAGGTTTCAGATACCCTTCTTTAGAGGCTGTGTTGCATCAGGACCCTTGATTATCTGTATGCTTATACTCTGCAAACCTATGAAAGTCATAGCCAAATTTTAGTAACTTTATATTCCATAGCCTATTAGACTTGTTTTCTTGACCAGTCTTTTTTTAAACAGTTCTCCACAATGACACAAACATCAAACTGATTAAACTGCCTTGGATTTTTGTGCTTTAATTCTATAGATCTGCAAACAATGGATCCTCGTTGAAGTGAGGCCATTAAATCCAAATCAGATTTGAAATTCTGTTTCTAATGTGATTCAAGAAACATTCACCTGAACAGATGATTTTTTTGTGTGAGAGCTGATGGAATATGTGCTGGATGCCTGTAGAGTGTGCATGTGCAATACAGTATTTTGTTCTTTGCAAAGGATAAACATAAGCAAAAGCATTTCATCAGGATAATAGCAATTTAGACACAAAGTCTTTTTATCATTAAAAATCTCAGAAACTTACAGTCTAGACCTACTTTTGCTTATGAAGAAGATAGAAATGTGCTTGTTGTGCTTTGAGGATGTGGTGTAGAGGTGGACCTGGCAGTGCTGTGCTGCTGGCTGGACTCAGTGCTCTTGGAGGACTTTTCCAGCTTTAATGGTTCTCTGATTCTACTGCTGCTACCTGCTTTTTGTTCCACAAAGACTTATTTCTGTATTTTCTCCTTTTCAGACTGCTTTATCCATCCCTCCCTTGCATGCCCTGCCTTTCCTGCACTCTGCAGTGCTGCACCACCCCAGCTGGGGAGGAGCTGGCCTGAGCTCCCCTGACCCTCCTGCTGCTGCAGAGGGGCCAGCAGCACTCTTAGAGCTCCACCTGGCACTCCAGCAGCTTTGGGAAGCTGTGCCCTAACAAAAAGGGGGTGTGCTACTGCTTCTCCAACCCACAGTGGTATGTTGTGGTGTTATAACTGTGCAAAATGCAGCTTTTCCCCTGCTACAAAGCCTCTGCAGAAAGCACACCAGAGATGGAGATGTTAATGGTTGTGTGGAAGATTTGACCTCGTTGCCAACTCTTTATCTCCCAGAGAGCAAGGATTGCTCTGAAGTTTCTTCCAAATTTGATAATTTCTCCCTGTCCCTAAAAGCTTGCAGTAGCTCGTTTGCAGTCACTCATCCTTCGTTTTGCTTTGGCCGTTGTACCAGAGGGTAGGCAGACAAAGAGAAAGTGTAAATTGGGGGTGATCAGGGCTAAGAAAAACCCTCTTGTGCTTACACAGACACAGCAGAGGGCTGTGTGCATTTTGAGGCAATAAGCTACTTTTGGGAGTAGTCACAATTAAAGTGCTCCAGAAACCTTAGACTCCACGAAAGGCAAAGCTGGCAGTGCTGTTGTGCAGATTTCTGTTAATTTTGCAGCAATTCTAATAATTGACAGTGGTGGTATGTGTGCCCTGCATTTCTATGGCCAGAAAACAAACCCAAGAGAGCTGCTTGTCCTGCCTGTTATACATGTACATGTTTAATTAGTGGCATTGGTTTTTCCTCTTTAGTTCAAATAGCTACCACTTAACTTCTTGTTAAATGCATGATCATGTGTTAAGCCAATAAAAAGATTTTGAAACTGGAAAAAAATCAAAGTTCAGGTTGCTTGATAAATATGAATTTGTTTCTTTGGACCATATGCGTATGGATTTAGATTTTTATTACATTATTGAATTATTTTTACAGTAGTTTTTAGCCCAATGATTCTTCAGGGTGACACTAAAATGGTCTCTGCCATGAGATGAAAGACTCATGATGGAAATATGATGGAAAACTCCTTACCTGCAGCTGTCAAGGTGGCTGGAGAGTAGACTATAAATGAGAGGGTATTTTAGCAGAGAGAAAGGGTCATTAGGATCATCTCATGGTGGAAGCAGCTGCCCACTCTCATAAAGAATGTATTTGACCCCTGCCCGTGCACAAATTTCCTGTGAGATCCATTTATTTCCACATGGTCACTACCTCTTAAAGTCTAACTTCTGGATGCCTGGATTGGAGCTCTGAGGTCTGGACTGCCAAAATGCAGCCACTCAGAGCTTTAAATAACATCAATGTTAATTTGTTCATCTATGTTTAAAACTCAGTGCTATGAAACCCAGAGTTTTATTCTGGTGTCCTGACAGAAAGTCAGGTGATCAACCAATAAAAATATTTCCAACCCAGTATTCGAATTTGGCAATGTTTTGCCCACAACTGAAATGGTGATCTTATCCTGAAACTCAACATTATATTTGAATATAAGGCAGTTCTGTCATCCCTGGTTACAAAATAATATTTAAAGAGAATGACAGCATGCTGGAACTTAAGGAAACTCAGACAAATTGAAATTAATTCCCATCAGAGTTCAACACCTTTCTAATGGAAGGAATGATTTCACAGTAACTGTGTTTTGCTTTCCAGGAGGGCTCCCTCTGCATGTGTAAAGTCACCTGCAGAAGTTTTCAGCTGATGTCCTTTCAAACTGTGTCTGCCTTTGAAAATAGTGACCCTGAGAGATGCCACTGGAATCTCTTTGGGATGTTGACTTTTCTGTGCTGCTTACCAGGTTGTGAAAGCAGGGACATGTGTAGCTTTCTGTACAAGCTGATGCTGCTGTGCAGAGTTAGGAGCTAAGCCAAGCAAGTATGGAGGCATAAATCAAGAGAGGAAATTTATAGGAATGTTGTGTTTTTATAAAATCTCTAATTGTCCTAATGAACGTTGAATTACGAGTTGGTGCAAATATTTTTTTTCTTTTTTTTTAACTTTTTGTCACCTGTAGTTAGAATACATTAAAGTATCCATCATGGGTCTTTTCAAAGACAAAAAACCCCAAGAATGAACAGCTTTGTGAATAGTATTTCCACATTCTTGTATGTATTTGTGTTTTGACAGCTATGATGTGTTTAGTTTTCCACCCAAATGGCCAATCTTTTAGAATTTTTGTCACTTCTTACCAGCCTTACAAACCTTCACATTTAGCCATCTGTATCTCAACATAAAGATACTTGAGGCTTCTTGTGTTCCATGTACTTTGGAAATATGACTCACTATAAATAAACCAATAACTGCTACATCTTGATAACCTCAATTAGCATAGCAAACCCATTTTATCTATGGCTAAATGTATGCATATATCAAAACTTTAAATGTAGGAATCATAACCATTTGAGTAAAATGACATAATTGCTACAGTTTCAAAAAAAATGTAATGACACTTAATTAAGCCTGAATCTAATGAATTGACTAGAATTTGTATAAAGCAATGTCCTCGTGCTACACCTCTGCTCTGTGTGTAGCTTTGTCTCTTTGTGTCTAGCTTAAGCAAGAGTTTGAAAGTTTGAACTTATGTTTTTCTAAATTCTTTTTATGTTTCCATTAACTGCCTTGTCTTATCTTGAAAAAAAGCTGTCTTCATATTCCCAGTCTTCACACCATAACAGGTTTCCTTATTTCAAAAGGTTTCCTTATTTCAAAAACATAAGTTGTCTCTGATGAGAGTCTTCTCTCAGTATGTGAAAGTACTCAAGAAGAGTTTGTGTAATGGAAACTTCTGGAGAAAGATAACTTTTGGAAATTTGGAAATGCTACTTGATTCTAAAGCTTAATTTAAAAATCTTTGAATGAATTGATATGGGTGAGCATGAAGGAAGTGTTCATGAGGGGAAGAGATTGATAGAGTGGAGGCTGAGAGGAATAAGAACACACTTTGCATGTTTTCTCTGCAGTTGATTTGTAGAATATTATATTCACCTGCAAATAAATTATTACTCTGTATAGTAAGAGGATCTGCAAAGCCCATAGCATTTTGTTGTTAAAGCCTCACAACCGTTTTTTAAAGCATGGAATGTGTTCCTTGTGTGCAGGCCCCCAGTCCGAGCCGCCGTCGTGCAGCGCCAGCTCCGTCTCCTGCCCCTCTGCCTGCACCTGCAGCAACAACGTGGTGGACTGCAGGGGCAGGGGCCTGACAGAGATCCCAGCCAACCTCCCCGAGGACATCTGGGAAATGTAAGTGCCAGTCTCGTGCACAAATCTTTTCCATTCCTCTCCGTTTTTATCCCATGTCACGGCCTCCTGCGTGGAAGAAAGAAAGGGGTATGTTTTAAAAGCTGTTTTAAGTAGTTGTCAGCTTGTTCTCAAGTCAGTTGTCAGTAGTTGTCCTCTCTGGTTTGTTCTTTTGATCTAAGGGCTCAAACCATTTTTAAATGTAAATTAAGATAGTTTGGTACTGTCCTACCTGAAAGCAAGGTAAAGTTCTTGGGGCCTTAAGTTCAGATTGTGTTTACATTTCACAAACCCAGAATTGTAGTTCTATAGTCAGTAAATGAAAATACACAGTCCTTTCTTATTTCTAGTCAGTGATTTCCCCATGAGATGGAGGGACGTCTTTTTAGCTTGGCAGGATGCATTTATAATGAATTAGAACATCAGAGCACATTGTCTGCTGATTTTACCTTCTGTATCTTGTCTTCCACATTGTTATTTCTAGTTCTTTAACAGTTTTGTGACTTGTGTTGTGGAATCAGATGCTTGTTTTATAGACTTGTTTGCCTTTACTACCTCTAGGAATTGGAACCGTCTATTTCTGTGTCCATGACTTCATACTACTGTGGGCCTGAAATACTTTTACATTAAACCATTTTACTTGTGGTTAGTCCACAGGGAATGCAGATCAATTCTTTTCCTATTTAGGTTCTTTTCATACTGAGTTTTCTGACATCCAGCCAGTTTTTACAGTCTACACAGTATAAATTCAAATATTTGCATGTTCACTGGACTTATCCACTTCTTGTTGCTGTAGAAATACTGGTACACAGCAAAATTTACCATGATAAAGCATAAATTTGTAAGATTGAGGAGTGTTCTGGGTTGGAAGCAATCCTACCAGATTTGGGCAGGGACATCTTCCACTATCCCAAGTTGCTCCAAATTCCATCCAACCTGGCCTTGGACACTTCCAGGGATGGGGCAGCCACAATTTCTCTGGGCAGCCCGTGCCAGGGCCTCACCACCCTCACAGGGAAGAATCTCTTCCCAATATCCCATCCAACCCTGCCCTCTGTCAGTTTTAAGTCATTCCCCCTTGTCCTGTCACTCCAGGCCCTTGTCCAAAGTCCCTCTCCAGCTCTCCTGGAGCCCCTTTTGGAAAAGGTTTTAAGGTTTTCCCAGAGCCTTCTGTTCCCCCCAGCTCTCCCAGCCTTTCTCAGTAGCAGAGGGGCTCCAGCCCTCTCATTGTCTGTGTGTCCTTCTAATGCTCTGGGCATAAGAACCCCAAGGAACATTGAATTCAACTTGTTCTTGTATTTCCCCCTAACTCAGTATTCTCTTGTAAGCCAAATTGCTCTGCTAAGAACACTTGACTTACAAACTGTTCTACAAAAATGAAACACACAGCTGTTGCTCTAACACAGTTATTAAAGGTGACCTACATTTCACTCTGTTTCAGTATTAATTAAAGATCTTTTATTCAGCCTTCCTACCTTTCTTCATTAGCATGGGTAGGCAGAACCTTCTCTGACAAAGCTGCCAAAAAGTCCTAAGACTCTTTTGTTGATAAAAACCCATCACAAACCAGGAAACTCACTTGTCATGGGACATCAAACAAGCATCGTGTGGTGCTAATTTTCCCTCTCCTGCATATGAATTAGAAGTCTGTTGTGTTACTCTATTACTCCTCGAGGTGAAGGACTTCATTGCAAGAATGTTTGCTACTAAGTAAGCAATTTAGGAAAGCTAGAAATCTGTACCCCAGACTTGCTTTTTCATAATTTCATAAAATAGGTAGCAAGAATGTAGAGAATGCAATTTGGTTTTTTATGAAGCTTCTTGTTTAGGTGGGAGCTGACAGCAGCAGCCAAATTGACTGAGGAAAAATGAGTTATGAGAAATTGAAGCTGAGGAATACAGACTGTGTGCTGAGTGTTACAAAGGAGTCTCTGCTTACAAAGTGGGTTTTGCTTTTCAGAGGAGAAATGAAGAGTTTGTGCCGTAGAGAAGCACGTGAGAATAAACAGAAAAGTTTTGCATGACTACTTGGGTGAAAACAAAAGTCATTAAGCACCTGGAGGCATTTAATGGAAAGAAATACTGAAATGCAGGTGTGGTGGTTTGCTGGTACATGAACAAAACAGTCATTCCCTATATTGGGACAGCATCTACAGTAAAAGGAGAGCTTGCAGTTATTTAGAAAGGGTGAGAGAAAATGCATGCAAGGTAAATAGGGAACATGGTGTGAGTGCAGAATGGGCTTGATGCTGGAGAGGTGTAGGGAAGGAGGGATGGCCAACAGACAGGAGACAAAGCCTCCAGAGAATCTGTTTTTCTGCTCAGACTCCATCAAAACCCTGCAGCCAGTGCCTGTCAAACAGAATGACAGCTCAGCCAGCAGAGCCAGGGGAGAGCAGAGCCCTGGAACCACACGGCTTGGGCTGCTCTGGGCTCAGGACATGGGCTGCACAGATCCTTTCTCAGTCATTAGAGATTCCCTGGCATCACTCAGCCCAAGGACAGCTTTCCTGCCCGTGCAGATGGGGGCACAGGGGCTGAGGGCACTGCCAGCCCTGGCTGCAGGGTTTCAAACAGAATTTGCTTTCATGAGCTGCCTGCCACGTTTGTTTGATGCCTGCCAGTCATGGGCAGGAGCAGTAACCCCCTCTTGATCTTTTCCCACCTCACAACACTCTTCCTCTGCCCCTTCTTTAGAAGGAAGTTTTCATGCTGTTTGTCTGCCTCAGACTGATGCACTCATTTTTTATTTATCACTGCAAGCGAGGCTGTGTTTTAGGATGTGAATTCTGGGCAGGTCTTGTCTGAGGATGATCCCTGCACCACCTTAAAACAGTGGTGCAGGGACTTCCACTTGTGCCTTTGTGTTTGCTAACAGTTGGTACAAGACTTTGCAGAGTGAAAGCAGGGCACAGCTCCCCAGAGGCAGCACACAGCCCCCTCCTGCTGCCAGGGAGTGCTCATGCCTGGAGGAGGCAGATGCTGGAGCAGCAACCACTGGCACTGGGTGCTGCTTCTCTGAAGGATCTTCCTGAAAAGAGGGAATTAATTATTTGATAAATCTAGAGGCTGGATTGTGGTTGGGATGCTTGAGAGAATGTAAACAAGCTGAGCCCAGTACAGAAAGTGATGGGAAAAGAAGGGTGAACTGAAATGAGGAAACAACCAAACACACGAGGAGAAGAATTGGGAACAAAGGAAATCAAGACAGGGTGAGCAAAGTGCTGTGAGTCTGAGAAAGTGGGGAATATTTGGTGAAAAGGCCTGAGATTGGTGCCAGTGGACAGCAGCTGTGTAGGGTGGCAGGAGAGCTGGGACACTGGGGCAGGACAGAGGGACACAGGGACAGGTGGAGCACATTTACCTTGGAGAGCCTTCCTGCCTCCTCACCATGGACTTGGGAAACCCAACAACAATTTGAGTGTCTGTCCCTGGGCATTAGGGACTGTCTAGGCACAGATTAACTCTTAAACTACACAGGGAGCTCCTGTTTGCACTGCTGCTATTCCAGTTACAGAGCACTACAGGGATCTGGGACTCACACTTCTGTTACACTCGAGTTTCCTTGTGATGGAATCAGTAATTTCAGCTTTTGGGTTTGAGGCCACTGAATTAAATGTTTGGGGTTTTTCTTAAAGTAAAAAGAAATAAACTGGAAAATGCTAGAATATACCAAAGTTAATATTTGTAGCTGCAGTTGTCATTTGAAGCTTTTGTGTAGATTTGTGGTGGTATTCACTTCAACAGCAGCACAGTCTCATGCTGCTGTTGACAGCTTGGATTAATTTCTTGTTGCCTAGGGATGCATCAGGGATGTGTAGGGAGGGAGCCTGTGTGTATAGATAGGGTTTGTTCACTTGTTGCAGAAACAGGAAAACTGTAAAATGGGGACTGTGGGGAAGATAATCTCATGAATGCTCTTCAGAGAATTGGGTTGTGCCTCTTCTTGCCAGTGGTTTTATTAATTGATTCTGGGCAAGTGACTTGCACAAACTTTCCTTGGGTGGTCACTGGTGATGTAATCTCAGTTCTGGCTGATTCAGCTGAGACATTCAGCACTGTTGAGGACTCCCAGCTGCAGCAAAAGTCAACAGGCACTGTGCTTTGAACACTTTGTGCTGTGCAGTGTTAATTACTCTGAAAAGCCAAGTCTCAGTCATCTGCAGACTTACAAATCAAACTCCAGAATGTAAAGTATATCCTTAAATCCTGAAACAGATCTGAGATCTGTTCACATCAAGTTTGCTTCACCCTTGTCATTTACCTGTACCATACCCTGTGTCTGGTGAGATGAAGAGAAATGGAATTGAATGAGCCAAGATAAAGCTGGGTAGGATGTACCTGACTCAAAAACAATCACAAACCATTTGTTTAAATGCTGCTGCAATTGCTCCAGACAGTAAGGATGCTGCCAGTCCCTGAAGGAAGAGTGCAGTTTAGGCACCCTGTCTGCTGAGATAATAACCACAGCTTCCTCTGGCAGCTGGGCACAGCAAACAGGCATGGAAGCCCTTCCACCAGCTCCTAGGCTTGGCCTAAGGTTCATTTTAGTCACTTGTTCTACATGGGTTTAGTTTAGCATTTCCACTTTTGATAGCTGAACGGGTGGCTGATGTTTTTGTAGGTATAAGTAGCACGTGATTTTGGTGCAGAATTTCTACTCTTAAGAAAAAATTCTAGAGTTGGAGCACAGGAAAAATGAAATGTTGGTTTTCTCCTGGTTCTGGCAAAATGAGCACAAACCTAATTTTCTGCAGGATGATCACTTTGTAATGTAATGTTCTACTTGTTCTACCTTTAATGAATGGTTTCCTGACAAATTTCATGTCCTGAGGGTCCCAGTGTGCTGGGCAGTGTTGCAGGCCTGGAGGCAGACAGGTTTGCTGTGTTTGGTGTTTCAGGAATTGTCTCTGGAAGAAATTGCCTTCTCTGTTCTTCAATACCTGCAGGAATGTGCATTTCAGGCCAGCTAGGGCTTAGCAGGGAATCTTTAGGAAGCTTTT